CTTTTATAGTCCCCAGCAGAGTCGCCAGTTCTGTGATCGGTGGAAATAGAACTGACTGTTTTTTTTAGCTGGTTTCGCGAAATATCGCGGTAAGCAAGAGTCGCCACCGTCTTTTATGTTCTCCAACATGGAAAGGACAAAAGCACAGCAAAATTCCTTATTCGAGAATGTTTCTCGGTTCGGGAGGTAGATTTATAGAAAGGGAAGGTGTTAGCACTCTTTCTATCCGTGGTTATCCACGGGCTCTTAGGTACTTGCTCTTATGTTTTCAAAAATTGTTGCTTTTCAAATGTGTGTGGGTTTTGAAAAAGTTCCGTTTGAAAAATTTCTAAGTAACTCTTGTATCTGTCCTCAAGAGTGTGTGAAAAAATTGTTTGAAAACTTTTAGAAAGTGCGGGTGCGAAAAGTTGTTTTTGTTTGTTTGAAAAGAGAGAAAGTACCCAGGAGAATCTACCTACTCTAAGGAATTAGGTTGTGTAAAAGTCCTTTAGATAGTGCCATCCCACCATTGAGAGGTAGGTAGCACCGTCGTTGGAGGTGTTCGGGTCAATTCGATTATAAGGGACAGTGTGGTCACCGAAGCAATAGTAGGACACCTTAGAAGTAACCCTAATGTCCTAGATCCTTTTTATCCGAGGCAACCGTTTCGAGGCAACTGGATCTTTAGACAGGAGGGCGACCTCTAAGACACCCTATACTTGACGACCACGTTCGAGGCAACGAGTGAGGCGTACCCTAGAAGTGGTGTGTGCGTTTGTGTGTTGTTTTCAGTTTATATTTATCTTGGATTAGGCAATCGTGAGCTACGAGTTGTTTTTAATTAACATACATTCTCTCATGCAATTTAGCAGTTAGGAGTGCGGAAAATTAAAATACGAAAAGGTAAAAGCTACGCTATTACAAGGCGCGGGTCTATACATCGCCAAAATACAAAGACCCGTTTTTGATAAAGATGTGGAAAGTAAAAAAAACAATAAACCTAATTACTATTACATTCCAGAAACAGTTACATAATAATCAAATAGAAATAACGCGCGAATAAATTAAATTGGACGTCCGAGGGTGTTGGACCCTTTTGAGCAATTATGAGTTTTTTTTGTCTTTTGTATGAAATTAAAATTAAACCTAAATCTAATTATTCAATTATTTACAAGAAAGATATTTTTTATGTGTTTTTGTATTTAATGAAAATAAAGAAATTAAAATGAAAAGAAAACCCTAGTTCTAAGTTTATGTTAATTATTAAGAAAATATTAAAGTTAACCTAATTCTAAATTATTTTAGTTATTTTAAAAAAAGGTTAAAATGGCCTATTAAAGCTAATTCAATTATTTAATATTTATTTACAAAAAAAAAGATAAAATGAAATTAATGATATTAGTTCTTTTTTTTTTGATTTTTTATAAAAAATATTAGTTGGTTAATTGTTAATAAGAAATAAAATAAGGCAAATAAATAAAAAAGAAAATGACAAAACAAAAATAAAAAAAAAGAAGAGTAAACCCAAGGGGGTGTGGGCTGGAATTTTGAGGGTGTTTGATTGAGATTTGAGGCCCATTTGAATCCAGCTCGTTTGACTTCTTGGATTGAGTGGAACGCTGTTGACTCCTGAGCATGGTGCTCCTCACTTCTTGGCCCTTGAATCTGCACTGATGGACACTTGGCTGACTCTTGGATGAGGTGTATGGTATGCTTCCTTTTGAATGCTGCACAGGAAAGTGTTAGAAAAAATAATATTGGAATTATGGGGGGACCTGGGAATCGAACCCAGGTCCCAGTGAATACCAAGTACATAGCCAACCACTGAACCAAACGCGCTTGTTTGTAAACATAATAGAAAAAAAGAATATATGAAATAAGTGCACTATATGCTGAAACGCGCGCGCCAATTTGAATTGACCACTCCCTGGTTGCCACGCCCCTCGTCTTCTTCATTCCTGCAAAAACATAAAACACATAGCGGGGGTTTTAAACCTCCACAAAATGCAAGCATATGAAAATAGCGATTAGGCGCTCGTTACATATAAAAAGGGCGCGAGGTATCCATCACGTTCGTCTCATCCTACTGATTTCAACCATGCCTGTTTGGAGTTTTAATTTTACAGCATGAGAAAAACCCCAATTTCAAAGCTCTGAAAACCCTAGGAATCGCTAATGGTACTTTTCAATCCAGGGCATTATAATCAAATTGAATTTTATGGAAAGCTTCGTATGGACCTTGTGAGTACAATGCAATCAATAAAAAGAGTTAAAAATGCATAAATGTATGACTGTGATTTTGAGAAAGAGTGTAAACCGTGTGACTTGTATGGCACGAGTTCTTGAGGTTTTGCGCTTAATTCTGATTGCAAAAGGTTCCTGGAAGGGTCAGGAGTGTGTTTGGATCAAAGGAGAGGCTTGAAATATGCTGGAAGGTGGTTTTCAGTTTCACACTTTTCCTTTGAAATTTTGAGATTGCTTATGCTGTATGTGAGAGTTCTAGGTCGTGAATTGGATTGCCAAGGCTTGCATATATGTTTTGTAATGAGAATCAATCAGAATAAAGGACATTAAACCAATGCAATGAAGTTTTTGATTTCCTCCATAACCACCATTGAACCACTTGCCATATTTGCTTCAAATTTGAATTTTGTGTTTGAAATAGGCTGTACACGAATTTGGAAGGTGTTTCATGATGCATCAAAGCAATTCAAGCCACAAAATATCCCCTAATTAATTTTTTTGATTTTCAAAGATTTAAAATGAATTAAATCAAATAAAATTAAATAAAAATGGAAAAATTAATTTTTAATCTTGAAATAAATTGTGGGACACGTGGGAGGCATGACAAGGATGAATCAAGTGGAAAAAGTGGGCCCCTTTTGTCAAAAATGAAGTTTCAAGGATAATTGACTTTGGCCATTTCACAAAAATTTCCCAACTTCTCCAATGCATATCTTGCTCAATTTTGAAGCTATGAACATGTTCTTGGACATTTTGGAAAGGTCATGAAGTCCTCTAACCAATGCCTTTAGTCCCATGTCATTTTGATTTACCAATCTCAAGTTATGGTCTTTGACTTAAAGTGCATTTTTGTTGACTTTTGAAAATGACCTATAATGTTGAAATTGATAACTTTTTGTGAGAGCATTTCTTGGACTTGGAATGTTAAGATGAGTTGTAGGAAATGTCTTCCCCTTCAAGATGAGCATTGGATGGGATTTTTCTGATGAACCATGAAAAAGTTATGCCTTGGTCAAGTTACAGTTGACTTTTTCAACTGTTCAAAAATAGAAACTTTTGCATCTTGATGATTTTTGAGCCATTCTTGTGAAATCATGATCAAGATTTGATCAAATGATGATTGTGGCTTCAAAATGAGATGTTGACCAAATTTTTTGACTTTTGACTGCCAAATGACCATTTTGCCCCTATAGTTGATTGTGAGGCAATTAGGGTTTTTGATTGTGCAACTTGACCTTGTGAGCCTTGAAACTTGACATGTAGGTGCTTGACAATGTATATGAGCATATGGGACTTGATTGAGCCCTTGAAAACTTCAACTTCCTTGCAAGAACCAAAACCCTAATTTTGCCTGGCTTAGGAGGCAATTGGACTGTGCAACCCTTGAGAGATTTTGAACTATTTGGAAGTTGATCCTGACAAATCTTGAAGAATATGGGAGGGAAAATTTTGGGGTACAACACATGGTTTGCAACCTAAGGTCTAACTCGCATCCGAACGGAGCAAGCGCATCCTAAGGGAACATGGTATGTACAAGGATAAAGCAGGCAAGCCAGTAAATTGAAGAGAGCACACCTGAAGAGATCCTATCTAGGTTAGCATGCTAAAGAAAGTCTAACAAAACTATCCTATAGGGAACATGCAATGAGAGCGAAGTCGTGATCTCAATTTCTAAATTGAGTGACTCATCAATCAACAAGAAATAAAGGAAAGTGATAAAATCCTATAGGGAGCATGCACTGAGAGCGAAGTCGTGATCTCAATTTCTAAATTGAGTGACTCATCGATCAACAAGAAAGTAAACAAACACAAGCACAACACATATAGCAAATGAAGTGCGGAATGCCTGCTACAGGTCTTTAAACAGCGACTTCGAGCGCACACTCTTCATTTCCTACTTCTCATGGTATCTAGAAAAGCGGTAAAGTGCGGAAATGAAGAATAAAATAAAGTTGCGATGATACCGAACGAAGAAGGTCCGTTTCCTCTTCAAAACCATGCAAGCAATAAGAAAACTCTACCAAAAGCTAACGGAGAAGGTCAATTGCCTCTTCAAAACCACGCAAGTGATAAGAAAACTCTACAGAAGCTGCTTCGCACGAGTGATCAAAGAATTAACCTCCAAGCATTCCACTTTGTGAAAGTTACATCAATATTCTATCATAAAATCTTAGCAAGATAATGAGAACAAGAATGATTATCAAACATGAAAATAATAGAAAACTTTAAGGAAAATTCTAAAGAGAGACCTCAAAGGATTCTAAAATATTCTATTATTTTTGTATCATTTTCATCATTAAAATCATGGAAAAATGAAGCTAAAATCAAAAACATGGAAAGGTAAAAGTATAGTAGAAACAGAGGGGGTGTATTGCTAAGCCCAGGAAGTATGCAGAAGCAAGGCCAGGCGCATGCCCAATCAGTAGGGTCCAAAAGAAAATTTTTGTTGATCAACTTTTGTTTCCAAAAATGCATCAATGGGCTCTGGGAATGGTGTGTCTCGGTCCATAATCAGTTTTTTTATGTGCAAGATATACTAGCTTCCAAAAATATTTACCCAAAAAAGCCTTTGGGCCTTAATGGGAGATTCATTCTGGTCCACTTCCAACAAAACAAATCCCTAATCCATCAGGTTAGGGTTGAGAATGGTTGTGACTCTTGAGTTTTTTACGAAGAACATAATGCTTCTTCTCTTCTTCACATAATCGCAGTGCGGCTTCTCCTTCACCTCAACTCCGCCGCGATGACATCAAGGCCACCACCTCCGTCTCTCATCCATGACTGATTCAAACAAATTCCCTCCATCCCGTGACTGCGACGCCCTGGCCTATACGTTCGGCGATTCATCCTCAAAGCTCTATCATCATAAATCTGCTTGCAATGATATCAAAAATGAAAAAGAGAAAATTGGAGAAGAGGTTCCACGGGTACGAAATTGCCCATGTTTTCCTTCTTGTTCGCACGCCATCTCTTCTCTGTTTCTGATTTCTGTGCGCTTTCAAGTTCATGATGCCGTTAAGCTTGTTGTTGTTGATCGTGTACATGCGAGTTGGTTGAAACTAAGCTTGTTCAATGACTGAATGACGGTGACGACGAAGGAAGCAAATGAAGATTAAAGATGGAAGAGGAATCACTGTGAAGTTGTTATTGTGTGATTTGCGATGAATAATGCACAAACTGTGCATTGTTGTGATGAAGCACGAATGAAGATTCATGATGACTGGTCATTGAAGATTCAGTGATGAAGTGGCTGATGAAGGTTGATACAATTATGGTGCAAGATTGAACAACGGTGGTGTCGAGAATTGTGCAAAGAGGGTTAGAAGTGTTTGAAGAAGGAATAAAAACTGGTGTTTTATGTGGTGATTTTTGGAGATTATGCAGAGAGAGAGCGAGGTTGAAAATGATGGTGGAAGGGATGAAGTGAAAGTTATTTTTTGTTGAATGATGAAGGTGATTGGAGATGTTGTTGAAGGGTGAAGCTGTGAGGAGAATGATGATGATTGAAGGCTCTGAGAAGATGCCAAGATGATGAAGGATTTGAAGAGGAATTGCATAGAGAGAGAGAGAGAGAGAGAGAGAGAGAGAGAGAGAGAGGGAGAGAGAGAGAGAGAGAGAGTTGAAAGGTGAGTATTCTAAAACTTTTCTATCTCTTTTCTGGTGTGTTGAATGAATTATCCCTCCTCTGTGCAATTAGTTTTCTGTTATCTAGATGTTAGGAAGTTGGTTACAGGTTTGTTATAGTTTGTTATGGCAGTTAGAGGGTTGGTTAGAGGTTTGTTATGCTCAGTTTTTCTGTTAACCGGAAGTTACTCTGTTTTGGAAGTTGTTATTTTTTATTATATCTGTTTTCTGATTTAGTACTTCTATTATTAACAGCTGGAAGTGCAAAGAGTTTGTACAAATTGAGGGTTGCCTGAAGCTGCAGCTCTGTTAAGCAGATGCTGTTATTTCCGTTTTTGGTAGGGAACTTGAAATTAAAGGTCAGTTATCAGGGCTGAATCTTAACTCTCATTTTCTGCTGGAAATTTCAACTGGATTTGTTCTTTTAAATGCAGGCTGTGTTTGCAATTTTAGTTTAGAGATTGGTTGGGTTTAGAAAAAGGCAGTTAGGGATAGGTTTTCATTTCGCGCGCTGGGTTTTACTTGAACATGTTTATGCAAGTTTTGGTTAACTCATTGTAAGCTTTAATTGTAAATTGCAAGGCCACATGAATGCTGACTGGATTTCTGGTTTTATTGTGATCAATATGCGGAGCTTGAAAATATGGTGCAACTTGGTTCCAATGATAATAACGGTGCCTCTTGGAAACGTGGAAGCTTGGAGCAAAGATAATTGCAAGCATGGAGACAACTTCCACATGTTCCCAAAAAATTACATCACTATTTGTAATAGCCCTTAGAATGTACTTTGGATACATCTTGTAATAGACGTTGGAAATGGTAACTTGTAATAGAAACCTCTTGAATATTTAGTCTTTCTTTTGAATATAATGGGCACAAATTCTTGATGATGAACTTTGCCTTGAGAGAAATTATGGCCATTGCCTTTGTTACTTGAATCCTACGAAATTAACATTGATATCATTTCCAAATTTAATCATGAATCAGATCCAAACTTATCCCCTTGCATAGATTGAATTCACGGAATCACTCGAACGAATGAATTCCCTTTCATTTCTCAATGGACAAATCAATTTGCCTTTAATAATCCCACTTAACTTGTATTTCCAAGCAACATACAACAATAAAGAGAACAAAATTGTCTTGATAAAAATCAATCCATAACTTCACCTTTTATGTCGTGTTTCATTCTTGTAATTCAATCCACAAAATATATTGACTTGACAAAGTCTTTTCAAATGGTTGCCTCAACATACTTCCTCGAAGACAAATACGTCTTGAAGTATAAGAAACGAATCCCCTTAAGTCCAGTTCTCCAATTGATGAACCAACGAACTTGAGCAACAAACTGAAACCCTAATCTCCTTGCCATGAACACACACTAATGAGGAGGCGATTTAATATGCTGACGAGAAAACCTTCTTTTAAAACAACCTCCGATGAAGCCCTATATTCAATTCAATTTTCCAATCTTAAGCAAAATTTCACGACAATCAATCCATCCTCATCTCTTGAAATCTACCCTCATCTCTTGCAATCCATCCTCATCTCTTGCACCATGGCTTGCATTTCGCAATCCAATTCCACTATATCTCGACTTGATGAGTAACAAGATAGCCAATGCCTTGAATCCCTGGATAAAGGTAGGACTTGGAGCATAGTAGGATACCTTGACATGAAACTCAATGAATCTTAGTTGTTGAACATCAACAAGCTCAAATATGATGAGTAACAAACCCTAGTTCACCTGCTTTTGATAAAATTTGATAATCAAGGTAGCTTGAGGTGATGGAGGGAACCAAAACCTTAGCTTACAATTGAATTCTTGATGAAGCATAACAAGTTAAAAAAAACCTAGCATCCTTCCCAAAATAAGTTAAAATGTTAGCATCTTTCCTTGCTTGTTGAAGAAGCAGCTTGAATCTCTTGGATAAAGATAAGAGCCTCAGAGCCTTAAAGAAACCCTAGTTCTTCGAAATCTTTGATCACATGCCACATTTTATTGATTAGTGAATGAGCGGTGTGTTAGACAACCTAATGGAGTTATGTACATGAATATCACTTAAATCCACAGATTCGAGTCATCTAGCATTTGAAGCGACTAACTTCCATTTGATGAAATGAGATGAATGAGCTCCTAATCCATAGCTTACCAAACGGTACATATCTAAACTTGATAAAACTCAAAGCAATCTTTCAGTAAGGGAAGAGTAGCGCTCAATGCATCCTTGAAGTGAGACTTTAATCCAATAAAACTCCATAGAAGAATCACCACCAACCTCAAACAACATGAAGAGAAATCCTGATTCTCTGGCTGAGTTAAACCCTAATGCCTTTATTCCTCAAAAGAACCTTGATGAATAAAAATTTGTATCTTGAGGAAACCTAATAGCAGAGACATCTATGCTGATTGAGATCCAAAACCTTAATCTCATACCAAGAAAAATGAGAGCACCAGCTGAATCAATTTTGAGTAAGATAGCAAATTCAATTCATAGAGAGAAACCCTAATGCCAAAGCTCTTAGATCTTATAACCATGAGACCAATGCTATGTGTGAGATGTACAGAATATGATGAGGGATCTTAGGGGTAAAAATTGGGGTATAACACTATCATAATAGAATAACTAACTAACTGTATATGATTGCAAAATTAATTCAAATACCTTTTATTTAGAAAACCTAATTCTTCAAAGGTTCTTTCATGTTTTGATGTGGATACTAACATCAAGTAAGTTGAATTCCAATGAGTCTCAACATCTAGAGTGAAGGAAAATTGCGATCAAAAGTGCAGCGAAATTTAAAATTTTCCTTTAGCGATCCTTACGAATGAGCATGGTCAGTGATAGAAGTATTTACCTCTTGTGGCGATTCAGACCTTTGATGTTGTGATCACGAGCGTTGATGAAGAACAACGCCTCTACTCAGTCCACACGAACAGATCGCTTCCGGTCACAGTGCTAGCTGATCACGAACAGAAACCTTGAGTGAGAGAGAGAATCAAAAACGAAATTGCATCAAGTGAAATTGCTTCATCACAAGGGATCTATTTATAGAATCACTCGTGTGGGCTACAAGCTAAAAGCCCAATTAAGGCTATAAGCTAAAAGCCCAATTAAGCTTATGGACATCATACCTTATGATGTACCATATATCACTTATCCACGTGGTACCTTACCACTTTCCGTATTACACTTAAGTTCACCGTACCTTACGGTGTTCCTTATTTATTCTATCTCTCATCAACCTGTCCTTATGTGTGTGACCCTGTAGGTTTTCGCGACGTTGGCAATTATATTAAATCACACATTTAATATAATAAACAGTGAGCAGTATCTAGCAACACATCACTGTTACCCAAGTCACGAAAATGTCATGTGATCTGACCAAACCTTTTCCGTGATAATATTTGTGTTGTACAATTACCCTTTTGCCCTCATGTCTATATTGAACACAAGGCATACACTGTGTCACCCTTGTCCAGTTCAATATTTGGGCCCTTAGACATTTATCCTATTATGCAGGATGAGCAAATTCCATCTAGGTCACTCATGTCCCTTAGCATGCTTTGTGAAGTACCCATCAACCGTCTTTATAGTCATCCAGTTACGGATGACGTTTGATCAGCAATAAAGTACTTGACTCTACATCTAGGGTCCATAGTGGTTTCAGGTCGAAGGGTGGTATACACCATTATCATCATGAGAATAACTTATGACACTTTGCATAACATTCTATGTAGTATTCTCATAGCGGGTCAATCCAGTATAAATATTACTCCTAATATTCATACCTATGTCAAGACTTGATAGCTCCTTATCTATGATCCATGAGATGTGATCATCAATCTATCTTCATAATAATCTTAATGCTTTAATGTTATCCCACTTCACATTAAAGCTTGACTACGAATACTTTAAGAATAATTTCTTATGTTTAATGGGATCTCATGATTAAGTCACACTTAACATTTCATTAAACCAATAAACCATTCTAGGGACTTTATTATTTTGGAAAACAAACATAATAAAGAAATGCCTTTTATTATTAATAAATAATTCGATACAAGTACCAAAAGTATTGGCCTCTAGGGCTTACACCAACATAGAGAAACTAAACCTTTATAGTCCATGCTCTCCTCGTCAATACATGCCTTGAATTAAGCGAGCCTCGTAGGAGAAGATCTAGCATACCAAACAACATGACAAACTCTATAAACAAAATCATCAATGTCTTTCAAACCGTCTTTCATAATTAAATTCAATATGTGTGTGAAACACCTCATATGAAAATGGTTTCCGCTCATACTAAACTATTCTTAGACAAAATCCTTCTCTTGAGACGTTCAACCCCAACATTATTAGATGAAGCATTATCAACCATCAAAATAAGGACGCGGTTTAAACCCCAACTGTTCAAACATATCTCCATTATTTCACAAATAACATCCCCTGTA